AGTTAAACCAGCCTTCGGAGACCACAGCAGGGAAAACGCTGCTGTGTGTTTACACGGTCAGCTGCAAGCGCACTGGTGTGGCCACATTAGCAGTTCTAGCAATGCCACAAAGAGCAGTGCATTGTGGTAGCTATCCCAGTGCGCAAGTGGCTGCAGCGTGCTTTTCAAATGCGGGGGTGTGGAGTGTGACAGGGAGTGTGTTGTGTGTATTTGGGGGGGAGAGAGTGTGTTTTGGGGGGCAGAGAGTATGTCAGCATGCTGTCTTGTAAGTTCAGACAGCAGCAGATCCTCCTCCTCCCGCCTCTCTCTCACACACTCACAACAGCAGCATTCCACAGTAATGGTTTGCTTTGTCCTGGAGCAGAGAAGCATGCCGGCTGTCAGAAACGGAGCTTTGAAAGGGGATATCCGCATGCCTGCAGCCGAGTTCAAAACAATGACAAGAGTGGCCACTTGACTTCAGGGGATTATGGGACGTTTCTGGAGGCCAATCACAGCACAGTAATGCAACACGTCATCCACACTGACAGCTGGGCGTTTCAGCCGGGGCGCAGCAAGCTTTATGCTTCTCGTGGAGGTGGATTACGAGGAGCGCTCCAGCTGCAGAGTCCAGGCGCTCTAAGTGCCTTGCTAATGTGGACACCTCAGGAGTTAGGTGCTCTAATTTGCAAGTGTAGCCGAGCCCCTAGAAACTGATTATAGACTAGCACTGCAGTGTTAGAACTGAACTTGCTTAAAGGAAAAAAATGTGGTTGGAATAACTAAATTTGAAAGTGGGAGGGATAATTGCACTATCAAATGATGGGATGAATGGAAACAATAAACATGTCATATACATGTCAGACTTTCCCCACACAGCCCTTTAATGTTAGTATATGAGAAATTAATACAAAAATTAGCAAATAGTCTTTTACCTTGGTGTATTTGACAGAGGCAGTGTGGAATCACGTGAATCTCCTGTGTTTTTTTTTTAAAGAAGGAAAAACATACATCAAACTGTCAAGGAAAACAATTTATGACTGTCATTAAAAAAGTATTGCAAGTGATATCGAGGGAGTTAAAATTGGAAAAATAAAAACAAAAATGTTTAAATGACTTTGAGGTTATGCACAACAGAGACCTGCAAAAATAAAAATTCAGCTAATGTTTTCCTTTGATGGATATTCGGTTTAGTGGTTTTTGCACAGATAAAGTAGGCCTTGATGCTGCAGTGCAAACACCTGTGTTTAACTTTCTGCATGTGAATAAACCTATTGAGTTCAGTGGGACAGCTCAAATGCATAAAATTAAGCAGATGCATGTTTGCAGGTATGGACCATAGATTTATATATTTTTAAAGCACTACATATAGGTGTAGCAATATACACACATTTAGTTTTGACACCTATTAGCAATGTGAAATTTCAAATAACATAGCAAAAGCTAAACTGATTTATTTTTACTTGAACATTTTAAAAAAATATACTTAAAATCAGTTCTATAAAGTATCCAAATCCTCCCCAGTGTGTCCGCATCTTTTGACATATTTCTTCTAAATTCCATTCACATGGAGATGTGTTGCTTCTAGCAGGAGACAGCTATGAGATTTAATTATTCAAGAGCATGTCTAACCTATAATCATTTACCTACTGTGTGAAATAACCAGTCATAAACTCCCTATAATAAATACCATTAAGGCCCCCTAAGCCAGCACAGATTTCATTGCAGGATCAAAGCCTAAGTCTGCACTTCAATGGCAGAAGTTATTGACATCAGGGCACAGAGGGGCTAGACTTAAAATGAGCATGTCTGATACATCAATATGATTCTGCCACTAAGAGAAAAATAGTCCCAAATGTACCAGTGCTACAGTATATCATCTCTGATCCACTCAATGACATTGAAGCAGTCTGTTACAAGATTATTAATTTATGAAGCAGCATTTGCCATTTTCAAATGAATATGCAACATAGCCAAAAAAATTGCAACTCAAATAGCACAAGACAATTAACAAAATTTAAAAAAACCTATACAATTAATAGCATTTAATCACCTAGAGATCTATAGGAGCTACAGTGTCAGTAAGTAATCAATATCTCAATTCATCTAACAGCTTGCATTTTCCATTTTAAAGGGATGGTATCAACTTGAATTTCATATTTGTAGGAAAAAATTGCATCTTCTATGATTACAAGCAGCAGTTCTAATTAAAAGTTTAAATAATTGTTCTCTATTTATCAATTTGTTTAATTTGTCTATTTGCACCAGGCCAGACCACTGCAACGGTGTGGAACACCACAGAAGCTCACCGTGTATCTGCATGGAAGCAAAGATGCAGCCAGTGCAATCAGCTGCAGGATTACAGTCATATCTATTTGGGTGACATTTCTTAGATGCATAGACTAGAATGGACCATTGTGATCAGCTAGTCTGACCTTTTGAATAGCACAGGCCATAGCACACAACTTCTCCCAAAAAGCAACAGAGAGTCCTGTGGCACCTTATAGACTAACAGATGTATTGGAGCATAAGCTTTTGTGGGTGAATACCCACTTCGTCAGACTCATGTAATGGAAATTTCCAGAGGCAGGTATAAATATGCAGGCAAGAATCAGTCTGGAGACAACAAGGTTAGTTCAATCAGGGAGGGTGAGGCCCTCTTCTAGCAGTTGAGGTGTGAACACCAAGGGAGGAGAAACTGCTTTTGTAGTTGGCTAGCCATTCACAGTCTTTGTTTAATCCTAAACTGATGGTGTCAAATTTGCAAATGACCTGAAGCTCAGCAGTTTCTCTTTGAAGTCTGGCCCTGAAGTTTTTTTGCTGTAGGATGGCTACCTTTAAATCTGCTATTGTGTGACCAGGGGGGTTGAAGTGTTCTCTTACAGGTTTTTGTATATTGCCATTCCTAATATCTGACTTGTGTCCATTTATCCTTTGCAAACGCCAGGCTCGGGACGGAGCGGGGGGCGCTCAGACTCCCCCACAGGTCGGGGGGAGCGGGTGTAGGGCAGCTCCCAGCGGATGGAGGGAGGCGGCCATGCTCGCCCAGGGCTCATCTGACTTGTGTCCATTTACCCCTCTGAAACTTCCCCCAACTAATTTCAAGCACATATCTTTTAGGAAAACATTCAGTCTAGATTGTACTGTTTACGCTGACCATTGCCCTTCCACCTAGTTGCAACAAATTAAAAAGTCGCTCTCCTGTAAGTGGCTACAGTTAGCCCCCTCCCTGCTCAGAGTTGTGTCTGTCTCCTTGTCCTTTGCCCCACCTCCTGAGATACTCCAGCCCCCTCCCCCAATCATGCTTGCCCTATCTGCCCCAACCTGGGCAGAAAAATCATTGTTCCAGGGAGGTGGGCCTGTAGTTGAGAGACAATCAAAATCGAGGAGTCCAGACTGTGGTCTGGATGCACCTTTCCTGAGCAGGGCAGTTGTCTAGGATAACAGGCTGCCCTCAGGCATGTTTAGACTTTTGTTCAGCACCAGCTAGAGCAGGGGTCAGCAACCTTTCAGAAGTGGTGTGCCGAGTCTTCATTTATTCACTCTAATTTAAGGTTTCGCGTGCCAGTAATATATTTTAACGTTTTTAGAAGGTCTTTCTATAAGTCGATAATATATAACTAAATTATTGTTGTACGTAAAGTAAATAAGGTTTTTAAAATGTTTCAGAAGCTTCATTTAAAATTAAATTAAAATGCAGAGCCCTCCGGACCGGTGGCCAGGACCCGGGCAGTGTGAGTGCCTCCTTCGGCACGCGTGCCATAGGTTGCCTACCCCTGAGCTAGAGGCTGGCACACTTCATTGCTTCTGTAAGCCAACCTGATTGGGTTCCTTGAATCCCTCCATTCTCCCCCACAAGCTCTCAGTGCTATTCCTCTCTCTTTCTAACCTCTTGCACCCCCCCCCCCCCCGCAAATCAGGGGCTCTGCGTCCTCTTATTCACCCCTGACACCATGCCAGGGGCTCTGTATAGGTCCTGCAGGCCCCTCTCCTCCCATATCGTTGTCCTCCCGTCTCTCCCTTTCCCCCTATTCCAGGGGCTACCCCTCCATCACGTGCCACTGTGCCTCATTCCTCCCCAGGCCAGGTGCACGGCGTGTCCCCCATTCTTCCTCCCTATGCCAGGGCCTCCGTGTGCCTCCCCATTTCCCCACCGCCTGTTCTTATTTCTTGGCTTTCTGCCGGGGAAACAAGCCCCTCAGGCTGCCCACATTGCAAACGCCATCGAGACCCCGGGCAGAGGGGGGAAGCCGCTCAGCTGACTGCAGGGGCCTCACTCAGCTGAGCCAAAAATGGAGCTCGGGATTGGATGGGGCACCTCCCCCCGCCCCAGAGACAACCTCGGCTGATAGTGGCAAAGGAAACGTCCCCCGGCAGCGCTGCTGGCATAGGGCGGGTGACTCGTGCTTGGCACAACTCACCAGGGGAACGGCTGGTAAAACCGTTAGGGGAGATGGGGGAGGGGCACCGAAGCTCTGAAAACCCCTTAGGCAGCAAGACTGGGGCGCGGGGCGTTAGGAACCATGGCCAGGCGCTGGCGCCAGCTCGGATCTCTCACTCCCTTCCCACCTCACGCGACAAGGAACTGCCAGCGGCGGTTTCTAAGCAGCCTTTTATGACACAAACGGAACAAACACAGACCAGCCGTGGCACGGGCAGCCGCCAGCGACCCGCAGAGGCACCTCGCAGCGACCCCTCCCCCCTCACCTTTGGTCCCAGGAGCCATTGTCCGCGCAGCCCCCGGCGCCCTTCCTCGCCTCCAAACCCCGCTGCGCTCGTTGCGTCCCCCTCCCCCAGCACTGGGAACTCTCGGCGGCTCAAAATGGCGGCCTGTTTGAATTTGGCGCTAACTGCCCGGCGGGCGGGCGGGGGGGAGCATCTCCCGCTGTGAAGTCACCATGGGGGCGGCCATTGCTGTGTGCTTATGTCTTTACGACCAGCCCCTGTCACGTGACCGGGGAAAGCGCAGGGTCTGCCTGCGGGAAAGCGGCGCCGCTGCTACCGTCCGTTCCTGGCCCGGGCGGAAGTGCGTCGTTGCTCTCGCCGCCGCCGCCTGTTCCTCTGGCAGCCATGAGCAAAAAGACGCAGGTCTCGTACGTGCCGCCGGCCGAGCCCGCCTTCCTGAGCCGCCTCAAGAGGGAGGTTGGGTATCGGGAGGGGCCCACGGTGGAGACCAAGGTAATAAGCTGCCCCTCAGGGGGGCCGGTCACAGCCCGCCCCGCTGCCGAGACCCGGGGATGGGCTCCCTGGAGACCAGGTGAGCCCCGGGCGAGCATGGCCGTCTCCCCCCCCCCCCGCCGGGGGCTGCCCTCCCCCCCCCCCCCGCCTGTGGGGGAGACTGAACGTCCCCGCCCCGAGCCTGCCGTTCGCAAGGCCAGAGTCCCGCTGCCCCATGTGTGACCATAGCGTCCCCCCCCCGGCCGGGCAGAGGTGGCGGGAGCAGCCGCGCCGGGCTCCTCCCCCAGCAGGGAGAAGTGTCTCCCTCTCCCCAGCCCCCGTGGACACTTGTCCTGAAGGGCCTGACCCATGGCCTGCGGCCAGCCCTTCGCTGCTGTAGGACAAGATCCCGTAATGTTAGATCCAAGGGAGCTCGCCTCAGACCTAGGAGGCCCTGGGAAACCAATTGAGGTCGAGGTTTATTTCCGAGCCAAGGGCTGTCATCAGGGCTCTCCTTTCCCCTCTTGCATCGACAGCCAGCTGCACTAGCAAGTGAATAAAGTTATTTAAAAAAAAAATCAACAGAAACTGGTAACCTTCAAGCCCTAAGATGTGTAATAGGGGAGTTTTTAAAGGGACACTCAACTTAAAACAGTTAACGTTTCTGTTAGGCAATTCCTAAGATCATTTTTCTTAATCATTTCCCCTGTTTTTCATTTGTTTACATTGTATATTACCACTATTCCCCTTACAGAGTCAGTTACTCCTATTTATTTGTGTGGGTTGCTCACACAGGAGCAGAGATGAGTAAATGCCTTTTAAAATGGGAAATCACAAGTGGGCAAGAGGGACACAGGCAGATGTAGACTTGGACTCTAAAGACAGGTTAGTCTCTAAGGTGCCACAAGTACTCCTGTTCTTTTTTTGGACTCTAAATACATTCTATGGGTGGCATACCAGAGATCACTTATCCACTGACTTTTTAAAAACTCCCGCACCCCAATCTGTGTCTATGCTGGTTATGTACTATGTATATATCTTGTGAACCTTGTAACTGATACTTGTAATCCCTCATAACCCAAGCCTGACCCCAGATGTACAATACCTTCCTTCTTAACTTGTGTAAATTTGATTTTAAACATTAACTTGAATAAGATTTTTAAATCTGAAATTACTTTTAACTCACTTTGTTTCAAGTAAATGCTGTCAATTAATACTGTTATTTTTAAAAGTGTGTGCATAATTTAAAGCAGCCTTCCAAACTGCCCTGAAGCTTATAACACAAACTCTCTCTACTTCTTAAAACAAAAATGGTCCTCTCCCTCTATTTTTCTATCCTGTTCAAGGGGAAAAGAATCTAGCCCCAAATGAGGTTCTTCTCTCTCTCTCCCCTTACTGTGTTGTCCAGAAACTATCCTGTTTAAAGTGAGGACTTGAGTAATTTGTACTTATAGTGGTACTGTCATCTTTAAAGGTAGACAAGTGAAAAACTGAGTTAATTGCATCTAAGGGCCTGATCAGGCACTAGCTTGTAAGTATCACACCAGTGCTCTAGTTAACTGAGTAAATATTATTTAGCATTTTTATTATCATAGCACCTAGAAATCTTAGTCATGGACCTATTGTCCTAGGCCACTGTAAAAACACAGAATAAAATGACTGTCTATAGAGCATCTCATATATTCTACTCTACTCCAGATTTTTGGGAAAAGACCAGAACAGTAATAAAAAAAACCAACACACATAACAAGGTTGTCATCACTAACACCTAGACTCAAGGATGGTAACCAAGACAGTACTTGCACTCTCACCTCTGTTTGCCTCTTTATCCAATATATTCAATTTCCTGTTCCCTTAGTGGGCTAAAAGATTGCAGCTCAGACTCTTCCAGCTTCTGATTGCTAATGGCTTTAGTAGTAGCACCTGGCTCCTAGGTGCATGTGTTTGGGCCCAAATGAACCTTGAGGGAAGAGAAGAAAGGAAGTAACCTGGCCAAACTGAGTCAGCCTCCTAAAGTACTTGACTGCCTAATTGTAAAGTTATTTTAGATACTATACCTGACCTGCTCCCCAGTCACTTACAATTAAGAACCTGCTGACGTTCTTTAAACACACCGGGATACTATGTATGCCTAAAGTGCTGTCAAATGCATAAAGAGCCTGATCCTGCTCACATTAAAGTTAATGAAAAAACTCCCGTAGCACAGGATAAGACCTAAAGTAAACAAACTAGGAAGCTATTTCTTCATACCGAATGATTAGAGAAAAATAGTAATCTAAGATGTTACTTTTAACAGCAAGAAAAATAATTTTATATAAAAAAAGTTGATAGTTTTGTCCTTCAGCTTCTAAACAATATTTTAAAATCCAGTTGTGAAGAACTGGGA